GTTTTAAGTGACCATCTGTATAACAGTACCAGAAGTGGATTTGTGTATTGCTGTAAGGGTCCTGTTTCCTATGTTTAATTGCATGTTATGTACAAATAAGTGCATGGTGGAAACAGTGGCCTTATCATCTATTCTCCATCCCACATGGCTCTCCCTCTTGAAGCTGCGATACAATGATCTAAGACCATAGTCAAAGCTGGAGTCAAGTCACTGAGGACAGAAGGACAAAATTCAAGTTAATATCAGACCCTTTGGAGAGGGTTGCCCCTTTTTAGCAGGTACGCCTGCACCTACGATCATTGCAAGTACTGTAGAAGGTTCCATTTCCTCTGCCTCAAAACTTCAGCAGTGCTGGTGGCTCTTAACACCTACAGTGTGCAACACCTTGTTTATGTTGTGACTTGATCTGGTGGCTGGGATTCTTGGCTTTGGTTCACCTTGCACCTCATCGATAGGCAAGTGGGGAACAGAGAAGGAAATTCTTGAAATTCCTTAGCTGCAAAGTAATAGCAAAATGCATCCAAACAGCAGTTAGAGTTTGCTAAGCATGCACAGATGTGAACACAGGCACTAACTTCCGAGAGCAGAGAACAAGCCCCAGCGACATCCACTGCAAACCGCGAGAGCAGGGCAATGTAGAAGGGTGCAAAACATACAGTGAACACGCACAGATTCACAGAAATAATGCGGATTGCTTTCTGGATTAATTTTGTCTCATGAGGACTCGTGACCATCTTCTTCTTGAGACATCTGATGACTTGTACTGAACAAAAAGTCACAATCACTAAGGGAATAAAATAGCCAAAGATGAGTGAACACTAACAATAGATAACTAGGTTGAGTAGATTGTTTCCGAAAGCAGAATTTTTCCTTTTTGTCATGAAATTGTGGATGAAAGTAGGAATAAATCATTAGTATTATCCAAAGAGCCCCACAGGTGGATGCTGATTTCAGTGGGGATCGAAGAATCTTTGCTTTTAGAGGGAACTTGATTGCAATGTATCGATCGATCGCTATCAGGGTGATGATCAGGATGCTCATAGGCATGTTTGTAAAGTAGATCGTTTGTATGGTGAAACACAGGTTGTCTATGGGATGCTCATATGTGGTAAAATATATCAAGAAAGGCAGGGCAAACAGCAGGAAACTGTCTGCGACTATGAGGTTGATCATGTACACCCTGGTCTCGGTCCACCTCTTGAGTTTGCAGCAGAAGACCCAGAAGGCAATCACGTTCAGTGGGATCCCCAAAGAGAGCACTGGGATGTAGACTGTAAATTGAAACAGTGTAATGCCATTCCGCATGTCGTAGTCTTTGGTGCAGTTCTCCATGTTGGGTTGTCTCTGCAAGACAAGGGGGCAGGCATGAGACCAAGCTTGGGGACAGGTTGTCTGTGCTGGGGCCTGCTGCAGTGCCCCACTCTCATGGCTCTGTGGCTGCTCATGCCTCTGCACTGCAGAATGTAGGCTCATCAGCACGTTCTACCCCTCAGCTATCAAAGCAACTCGGCAGCAGCTAACACAAAACCACAAAGGCAATAGTCTTGCAGCTATTACAGGGTTAGCCCTGCCTTGTCCTCCATCTGGTCCTAGTTTACACAGCTTGACTAATGGCAAAGGGTCTGCAAAGCAGAATGATCATTTCTGTGGTCCCTTATCTTTGCTGCTGCTGTAGTTATCTGAGAGCCACTGGCTTTAAGGCAGCCCGAAGCAGAGCTGGGCAGCATTCCCTCTTTGTCCCCAAGGCCCTTGCTTAGTTGCTGAAGCCGCCCTTTGCTCTGGGTGTTGCCAGGCTTGTGAAACTCTGAAGACTTGAGTCCTTTCAGATGTGGGGGTAGCTCAGGTGGCTTTCTATGCTTCCAGGGGTGGTGGGAATGCTGCTGCAGGCTGCTGGGTGCAGACAAGTGACTGCTGTGGGCAGGCTGTGTCCAACCATGGAAGCAGAGAATCAGCCAGGTTGGAAAAGACCTTTAAGCTCATCCAGTCGAACCGCTCCCCAGCACTACCAAGGCCACCACTAAACCATGGCACTGAATACCTCTTCTACACAGTGTGTGAACACTTGCAGGGACAGTGACTCCAGCCCTGCCCTGGGCAGCCTGTTCCAATGCCTGGGCACCCTTTAGGGAAGGAATTGTTCCTGATCTCCAGTCTAAACCTCCCCTGGTGCAGCTTGAGACCGTTTCCTCTTGACCTATCACTTGTTCCTTGGGAGCAGAGCCCAGTCCCCTCCTAGCTCCATCCTCCTGTCAGGCAGTTGTAGGGAGCAATAAGGTTCCCCCTGAGCCTTCTCCAGACTGAATCCCCCCAGGTCCCTCAGCTGTTCCCCATCACACTTGTACTCCAGACCCTCCACCAGCTCCATTGCCCTTCTCTGGCCCCGCTCCAGCACCTGAATGTCTCACTTGTTGTGAGGGGCCCAGAACTGAACACAGGATTTGAGGTGCAGCCTCAGCAGTGCGGGGTTGATCACTGCCCTGGCTCTGCTGATAACACTATTGCTGATAACGGCCAGGATGCTGTTGCCTTTCTTGGCTGCCTGGGCACAAGCTGGCTCACATCATGCTGTCACGAACCCACTCCTCTCTCTGCAGGATGCTGGGGAGGAATTGCTCAACAAAGTACCACCAGCGTTTAATATGCAAACATTTTTGTGCTCTTTTCCTCTTACAATAATAAACACGAATAGTAACAGTAGTGTCTGTAACAGACAGTTTAATCACAGCAACGTGCTCAGGATCCAGGAAGAGAAGGTGTTAGGCAGCAGAAGTCCTTGGGTACTTTTATTACTGGAAACAAGATCCTTGCCAAAATCTGCAAAGTATCTGTAGAGAAATGACAAGATAAATTGACTCTTAGGATAGGGTTGTGCCAGACTTATAATTTTCAAGAATCTTTTTTTCTTTCAACCTAGCAGAGGATCAACTTAATTTGTGAATCTATTGAAAAATGAAGAAAGGAGGTGGGTGGGTAAAATAGGTGAGCTATAGGAACCTGTGCAGAAAACAAATTTCTCTTGTCAATCAAGATAACAAGCATAAACAGGTTGTTGGAGGGGAAAATTACTTTTTGCTGTAACACAGATCATATATAGGTGACTGATTTCTCTTTCAAGTTCAAGCCCAAAAGGGTTGTTTATATGTATATTCAGCATCTGACCTAGCTCTTGAAGAGATGAAGAATGGTGGCTGAAGGGCTCTCAAAATGTTTCTTGGCAAGGAGTACGGGGTAACAATCAGTGTAAGTATAAATAGTTCAGAATGTTGCTAACAAAAGTGAAGTTGTTCCTTCAGATAATTTGTAATGCTTGCCCTCTTAGATGCAATCAGAAAGTTTTTGTTACAGTGCATTATATGTCAGCTGTGAAGCCGCTTTGGATACCCACTACTTTCCTTTACTTGGGATGTGCTAGAAGTACCTGCATCTATAGAAATCTAGAGACTGCATGTTTGCATGAATAAGGAATGTCCTGCAATGTGGGCTCAGTTTCTTTAATGCATCAGATCCTTATGCAGATAACTGTCCTCTGTAAATGGTCTGGAAATCATGCTGATGTAACAAAAGCTTCAGAATGTGATGTGTTAGTTTACATAGCTTCTTCTGAATCTAGAGACCGTAAGAAGAAAGTATCTCCACTTATTGTCCTATAAATTAGTATAGATATGACCAAAGGGACTCTTTCAACATACTTTCAGCATACTCAGTGCCAGTGATTTAGTGGTCAACTGTGGCAACTAGGTTTGTACTTCCATTACCTACCATTCCCAGGTGGTTTGTATCCTGTACTGCATTTGCCTTGAGTTGTTTACCTTTCCAGATCATGCAAAATCTTGATGTGTTTAACATAGTACAATTTATACTAAGAGGAAAGTAATTGTGTGAAACGTATAAGGAGATCCTCCTACCGTTATTTTCCCTGAGGACTTGTACTTTCAGTGGTGCTACACTGACAACATTTCCCTAGCTTTGACTTTCCTTTTGAGTCTTCTTTTAGTTGTAGTATTTGCTAAACTAATGTAACGTCCTGCCTTAAATGGACTTTCCCATTTAATTTTAATGAGTGGAAAAGAGACAGTTGTCCTTGATCTGTTCTGCTACTGCTCATCAGGCTTGCTTTGTGGGATCGTGGGTTTCTTGGAGAGTCCCATATAGACAAACCCCATAATAAAAAGTGAAGGAAATGGTAGTTGTGTGAATTTGACCTATATCCTGCAGAAGGGTCTTACTGATGGGTTCTTTTACTCTAAAATCAGTATTGGAATATTGCTCTAACATTGTTATAATGCCATGATTTGATACAAGCGTTATGGACCTTATGGATGTGTCACTGCTGATATTACTCAGCTGCATGTAATATATATATATATTTATGTTATATATAAATATATATATTTATCTAATATATATTAGATAACTATATAAGTAGAAATTAAACATACCTTGGTTTTTTATTTATTTATTTTTAATTGGGAAACCTGAATTCTACCTTCTACCTTTTATCTATAGATAAAGCTCTTAAAGTAGCATCATTCAGTGAACTCCTCATTTGCTTTTCTCTAAGAAAGCAATACATACCTTCAGTACAAACTATATAAGCAGGTGAAATGTTGCCCCTGAACTGTACTTAAAGTATTACAATCCTAATATAAATAAATCTAAGTATTTATATATAAAAATATACATAAACACTAATAATAACCTGGATGTATTGCAAAACTGTAATAAATACCACTTAAATTCACCTGAAGAAGGGTTTGCCTCCTAGAGCATACTTTAAAAGTCTGACAGAGCTTTTCATATTAAACCAAACAAGTCAGGCACCTTCCAAATGCAGCATCTGCCCAGCTAATAATTACCTAAAGGCAAAGATGGTACATATGTTTCATCATATGACTGCCCTCTTAGCAAACTAGCATTTCCTAAGAACATCTATAGAATATAACGTGATGAAACCACACTAAGCAGATTTTTTTTAATTTAGGAAAGGAAAGCGTAATTACCTTTAAAATGTATGTTATTTGATATGTCTGCATTTTCAGATGGAAATAGCTAGCTCTGCTCCTTAGCAACTCCCGTAAAGGTGTCCATGTACAGTGTTTATTTCCATACAGTACTTGGACTGTAGCTTTCCACGTCTGCAAAGCACGGGGGTAGCAATAACAGTCAGTACAGCAGAACCATTAGTAAGATTTCATCACAAAATCAACAGTCAGACTCCCCAGATGACACTACTTAAAACACAGCATTTAAACAGTAGTTTCATCCTGTCTTTTTGATCAGTCTCTCTCTGCTTGCTCATAGCACATGAGGAAGTTGGTGTTCATTCATCTCTAAAAATCAGTGAGAAAGTTTCTCTCCATTTGGCACTACAGGTTGCCTTCCCTTTCCCATACTGGCTTGTCACCTTCCCAACATTTCACTCTGATCCTCCAGTGCCAAATCAGTCCTGTTCTCCTGTTTGCCCATTATCCAAATAATATGTCATTAATTGCAGCTGTTGCCAAAACATCACACCAGCCACGAGCTACACAGAATCATAGAATCACTTGGGCTGGAAAAGACCTTTAAGATTGTGAAGTTCAACCATTACCCCAGTACTGCCAGATCCACCACTAAACCATGTCACTGGGGGCCTCATCTACATGGTTTTTGAACACTTCCAGCAACAGTGATTCCACCACTTCCCTGGGAAACCGATTCCAACACCTGACTACATATATAGCCTCTGCTCATCCCATCTTACCTCTGTTTTTCCTGTTGCACAAGAAAATGGCAGGGATTGTATTTTCTTCGAAGTATTTGGCTTGGAGATGAAATAAAGCCCTCCCTGCCTCCGTCAAAGCTCGGGGGGAGGGGGGGAAGGAAACAGCAGGGAAACATGTAGCAATGCACACTGCCACAAGCCCTCTCATGCTGTGGGACACTGCAAAACCCAGAAGGACTGCAGTCAGTCAGTCCATGCCACCAGCTCCACCGGCCTCTCATAGAATCATAGAATGGTGCATGTTGGGACGGACCTTAATGCTCATACAGCTCCAAACCCTGCCACAAGGCAGGGACACCTTCCACTAGGCCAGGTTGCTCTAAGCCCCGTCCGGCCTGGCCTTGAACACTGCCAGGGATGGGGCAGTCACAGCTTCTCTGGGCACCCTGTGCCAGCGCCTCAGCACCCTCACAGGGAAGAACTTCTGCCTAAGAGCTCATCTCAGTCTCCCCTCTGGCAGGTTAAAGCCATTCCCCTTGTCCTGTCCCTACAGGCCCTTGACCAAAGCCCCTCTCCAGGTTTCCTGCAGCCCCTTTAGGCACCGGAGCTGCTCTAAGGTTTCCCCTTAAGGAGACTTCTGTTCTCCCGGCACTCAGCCAGCAAGATGTCACTGACTCCCTCAGCCCACCTCTGTGGGGAGCTGGACATTGCTTCCCTGAGCACCTGACAGTCCCTGTGGCCAGCGACAGACCCCACCTGTTCCAGCAGACAGCGACCCGGGCCTTTGCCCACCCGTCCCAGGGCTGCTCCTTGCTGTGCCATGCTAGCAGGCACGGGTGCAGGCGCCCCTCAAGGAACAGAGGGCAGTGCAGACACCGAGACCTCTGTAGGAACCTGATGGCAGGCCTCTGGGCACGGAGACACCGGTTATAGGCGCCGCTTCCCTTCACCTCCCTGTCGGGAGCTGCCCCCAGAGGCGGGGACCTGGCTCGGTGAACCCAGAGCTCGCTGCCTACTCCCACCCCGGCACATTCGGCCCGGTTCGAGCGCCGAGGCCAGGCCCGGGCAGAGCTCGGTGCTCTCGGCTGCTCAGGCCCGCGGGCCACGGGCCAGGGCAGCCCAGCCGGAGCGGAGAAGAACGGGGCGGGCTTGGTTAGTCCAAGCCGGACCGCCCGGCCGGGCCCCTCTGCGGCGCGGCTGTCAGCGTGAGAGGGGTGGCGGCCCCTGCAGGCCGCGCTGGGGCGGACACCCGGAGCATCGGCAGCCGGCGCCGCAGCCCGGCGGTGTCAGTGCCACGGTGTCCGCCGGGAAGCGAGAGGCAAGAGCCGGCGGCAGCACGCCCTCCCGATCCCCGCGGCCAGGCCCCCGTATGCAGCCCTCACCCTGGAGCGGCGCCGGCGGCGGATCGAGGAGCTCTCGCGGTCGTCCCGGCAGCGGCTGCTGCAGTCGCGGGACAGGATGTTCTCCAAGTTCACCTCCATCCTGCAGCACGCCGTGGAGGCGGTAAGGCCGCCGGCGGGCCGAGCCACGCCGCGCCGGGGATGCAAGCGAGGCCTAGCCGACGAGCGGGCGGAGCTGGGGGGCTCTGCCCGCTCCCTCAGCGCGGCGCCCCTTCCCTGCCACCTCCCCCGAGGCCTGCTGCCGGCGAGGAGTCCCACCGAGCCCACATATCCGCCGGCAGCCGCGGCACCGCCGAGCCCGGCTCGCCCGTGCCGCGGGGCTGGGAGGCGGACGCCGAGCTAGGCGGGCGGGCCCCGGCCGGCGGCGGGCCCTGGGAGGGGAGCGGAGCGGAGCTGCCCCAGCGCCGGCTACAGCCGGCCCGGGCTGCCGAGGGCCGGAGATGGAGGGAGCGGAGGCTCCAGGCGCTGACCGGAGAACTGCGAGCCCGGCACAGCCCCCTCGGGCATCGTGAGCCCCCGGGCTGTCAGCGCCGGTAACGTGCCTTGCCCGTAGGCCCCGGTGCCGTCGCCCTGGCTGCTTTCAGCGAAACGAGAGTGAAGTTGCATTCAGGAAACTTCTCCGGATTCTCTTGTTGTTGTTCTGGCGGCCAGCAAACAATAGTCGCCGTGTCCGGTGCTTTTGTGTGATGTTGTCACTTCCAAACCGACGTTTTCAGCCTTGGTTTCTGGTTTTAAAAACGGCTGAAAACGGAGGGAAAGGAGGGCGAGGGGATTTGCGGTTGCGTACGGTCGGTTCGATTTCACCGTGTAAACACACACATAGGTGCCCATCGCGGCGCTGGGGAGAGGGGAGCAGTGGGGCCTGTCTCCGAAGCTGCCATTCCCGTAGGCCCCGTTCAGCTGCTTGCTTCTCAGGACTCGTTTTGTGTCTGCACGGGTTGATTTTGTTTGCTTTTCCGTTAGGTGAGGTCCTGGTAGTAATATCTGTGGCTTCCAGCACCTTTCTCTTTAAGCTAACACATCCAGGAGGCTGAGGTTGAAGAGGTGCATCTTTGGGTGCTACAAACTGGCAGTGAAATACTGCTGGCAGTGAAGGTGGAAAGTATTGATGGAAAATGGTTGAGAAAGGGACACCGTTTGTGCATTAATGTAGCCCTTGATGCTGCATATACTTGGGCGTATGCATTATGTGTGTGCCTGTAGTTCTGGGGCCTTTAGCAGGACTACTCAGGTTTAAAAGTCAGGCTTATAATAATTAATTGTGGGTTCCTACTTTGCTCTTTTAGTGGTGGAGTGGCAATTGGGAAGAAATGCTGGAAATAACGATGAAATGGCCTGAAAATTCTCTGTGACCGCATATGAATGCCTTCAATAGGCAGTGCCTTCATTGGAGGAAAACCAGAAATTAGTGCCTCCCTGACTAAAGAAACCTTGTTAGTCGTGTGAGCTGTGACACAATTTGTATGAGTAGAGAGATTCAGGCATGGAAAAGAAGTTATTCTTTCAGGCCCACCAATTCAAGATATCTAATCAAAGTCATTTCTAGAAGAACATTTACATTATTGATGTGTACAAAAAGTACTGCATTTATATGAGATCCATAAAAAAACCCTAGGAAACATGAATGAGTTGAATGGAAAAGGGGAAGAATGGAGATGGTAGGGACTAGATGATCTTTTTTTAATTAAAAAACCCCAACACCTCCCCACCCCCAAGAAAAACAGGGACAGATGGAGAACATCATTTGGCAAGTGACTGCTATCAAACAACATGCTCTGTGTCCTTGCTTGACTCTGGTGTCCCTTTTAGAACCACCTTACCCTGCTAACACCACTGTGAGAGAGTTCCTGCTGCTAAGTACTGCACTACATTGCAGTACTTGTGACACACGAAGCACCACACGCTAGGAGTAAATCATGGAATCACAATAGCAAGAGGATATTAAGAATGTGTCTTACTTCACCTAGGAAGTTTTACCCACTAATTCAAAGCCAGAACTGATAAATATAAGCTTTTAAACAGTTTTGGGGCTGTACGTGACTGTTTTATTATCTTGTAAAAAGTATGTGGGCTACTTAGCTTTGCTACTCTGAAAATGAAAACTGGTGTAAATCCTAAATATTAGATAAGCTCAGCTTGATGCTGCCTGCTGTTCTCAGAACCTAGATAATTCAGAGCATCATTTTTACTTGCTGTTAGAGCTGCAGAGCAAGTGTAGCTTGTGCAGCCTTGTGTGGACTCTGTTTCAGCCCTGAATATCGGCATCAGAACTGGTAACCAAGATATAATTTCTCCTAGGTTTTGGGTGCCTACTTCTGGGAGGAATTCATTTGCAGCTGAAGAGTTTTGGGCTGAGCTGGTCAATTAAATACACTTGGAAGGCATAGTCTTAGCTTTCATTGGTAGGACTACTTTAAATCAGAATGGTTTGGGTAGACTCTCTTTCCTGTCGTTTCTCCTACACATCACTTATATAATGCTCCTGTCCTGCCTCAGGGCCCACAGGCCTGCAGACTTCAGAGAGATGTATTCAGATAAGTGTTCCTGTGCTAATAGATAATCTTTATTATCTTACCCTCAATATGCCATCTCACTGAACTATGACGAGGAGTTCCAAAGGTTGACAGTCTGATACAGACAGGAGTATTTGCCTTTCACTTGCTGTGAGCATACAGCTCTTTGACTGCCTTCATGACAGGACTATAATGAAGCAAACAGAAAGGACCATTTGCTTTTCAGTAAGAGTTTTCTTACCTTGAATAACTCAAAACTTTCAGCCTTTTCTGCCTAAAATGCCCAAGAGTGTGAAATCATATTCCCATTTTCACTACAACTGAATCCTAATTTTTGCCACCTCTTTTCCTGTGTCAGTCCTGCCAGTATTTTAGATACTTTTACCCTTTTGGGAATTCTCTGCAACATCCAGATGAGCAAGCACTCTGTCAGGTATCGTCCTGACAGAGGCATCCTGAATGTGGGTAGGGTGAGAATGGTGGAGGGAACTGCTGTCTTTGTTCTGTTACCTTACTTCAGGGCAGAATAGAATAGAAATGTTGTTGCTGTGGGGGGTTAATATTAATGAATCTGTGACAGTTTATATATGGCTTGTCCCCAAGATGTTTTCTCTTTGCTATGCATTTCTAGTATACTTTTATCCCAGATGTATTCCAGAGTGCTACATTGTCAGCAACCTACAAAATGTAGTGTACACTAACAAAGCACCAAGTTAGACTTGCTATTTCTCTTATCTTGTACTCTTCACTCATGTTTCCCTAGACAAAATAGCTCTTCTGTAGAGCGGTCACTCAGTGTTCAAAGGACTTTTGTCTCTGATTTGGGCTTTCAGGAGATGTTTTGTCTTAACAGTCAACTCAGATGGTTTTATGCTGTGTACCTTGAGCAGGAAAAGTGATTTTGGTTGCTTCGAACTTTGCAATTTGCTGTCAAACAAGATTGTATCACTCTTGGGACTGGGGAATGAATTTAGATTTTAGTGCCTGCTGCGCATTTTTGGGACCACTCTCTACCAACCTATTATTTCACTGTGTCTCTTACACTGGCATTTTAATATGCTTTTTAGTAGCACATTTTCTGTCCGTATTTTGAGGCAAAACTGAAAGAAACTGAGTCACTTGCTACAGGTACAGCTCCAAAATCATTAACTGCATAACTACTCAGAACAGTGCTTCTTTTTGAACCCACTTTATTTGATGTAATGACCTCACATTACCGATTGTTTTAACAAATTCTGATGACAAAATCTAATGCATGGCTCGCAAGGGTGTGCAGTCTTAATTTTATATGCAAAACCAGCGATCATTGTAAGCTCTGTGCATTCATCAACTGAATAAATAATGTAAACCTTCAAGCATTAGTCCTTTTTCAGATTTTCCATCAGGGTAGACATTCATGCTAGTAAAGTAGTAAGATCAAGTGACTACTGTAGTTTTCCTTGTTTCAGTTAGGGGATTGTGAATGCAGTTCCCCTTGATTTCTCTTTGACCCAGTTTCTGCTTTCATTTTCACTCTGGCATCTGACCAGACTGTACCTGTTATTCTTTTACACAGCGTTTTCTTTACTTGGCCAAAAGATACTAAGGGATATCACCAGCTTCCGTTGTCTCCATTCGTTTCAGTATTGAGTTGCACTTCTGAAAAGCATACATGGAGCATATGACAATGATTTTTACATGCACAAAAGAATTGCTGTTAAGCAGTAAATATGTATAGGTTTCTTTGCTCTTGACGTTATTTTTTTCCCTGCCTAAACACAAATTCTGTATACTTTTGAAAACAATGTGGAATTGTATTTTGGACAGATTTTATAACAAGCAGGCTACAGTCCTGGTCAAAGAGCTGTAGTTTTCCTGAGAACAGCACTTTCCCTGGAAGGAGTGGGGTTTGATTGTCACCAGAATGATAAAGCAGCATGTGTTAAGTTTAGCTTCTAAATGAAAACACTCACTCGTTCACTCCAAGGAAGCTCAACTGCTAGATTTGGGGACCAGATGGAAGAGCTAATCAGTGTCTGCTCAAATGGGCTGGTTTTCAGTAGTGTTCAGTGGGGTTTGTCTATTTGATATACAACACCTACACTTCCATCTTTAAGATCTTAAGTTTTTTTCCCCTGAGGAGGAGAACTTCACTTTGAGATGAGGAATCAATAGTTCAGAATTAGTAAGAATATAGAATCAAGGGAATCATAGAATGGTTTGGGTTAGACGGGACCTTAAAGATCACATAGTTCCAGCCCCTGCTACAGGCAGGGACACCTTCCAGTAGACCAGGTAATGTATGTATTTACATCAAAATTGATTAATAAAACTGAGAAACAACCGCACTTTTAAGGTAACTCCTTCAAATTAGACAAATAGCAGGAATCAATAGCCTCAGCAGTGGATTTTGGTTTGCTTCAGAATCCTTAGAAAGGCATATGTATTTTTACAAAAGAGTGATTCATCAGATTGGCAGCTGTAAATTGTATTTCATCTCAGCTGGTAACTAATAATTCATCCTAAAATAGAAACTACAGCTTCATCCTAGAATTACCTGCCCTAGTAGGGTTAAGGCACGTCAACCAAGTGTTTACGCTTACATTTTTCT